GAGAGAGAGAGAGAGAGAGAAAGAGAGAAAGAGAGAGAGAGAGAGAGAGAGAGAGAGAGAGAGAGAGAGAGAATATACAATTATTCCTAACATGAAGGGCGCTTTATGTCGAATAATTATAAACCTGAACAGAAACCACGCGTGTCATCAGTGTCATGGCTGCTTAGAAAACCCACTCAGGAACATGTTGAGAGTTCGGCTTTACTGAACAACGCTGCTGCGACAGTACGCCGCGCCCCCTGTGCTCGTGAGGGGGCGACGGTGGCGCCACGCAGCGTTACAGCGCCCGGGGGAAATACGTCGGCAGGTTGATATTTGCAGTAATATTTACGGCACTAATAAGGCTGACGTCGGCTAGCTCCTAGCCACCTGCTGTACTCCGCCTGTCACTGTCTCCCACTGTCATCTCCCCATCATAGGTAGACATCTCTGCCGCCTAGTGCGTCACGTATATATATATAATATAAACGTATGTATATACACGCATGTATATAATAACTGAGAACAAGAACAGATAGCGTGGGATCGTTCGTGATATATGATTTAGGGTGCGCTGATGCCTACGCCATGTTTCCTATGTGGTTATTATTATAGGAGATCGTGTTAAGATGATATAGTGTTAGTGATTAGGGTTAGCGTGAGTGTAATAGTCGTTGTTTACCTGTAGCTTACTTACAGCTTACCTGAAGCCTACCTGTACCTTACCTGTACCTTACCTGTACTTTACCTGTACCCTACCTGTACCTTACCTGTACCCTACCTGTACCTTACCTGTACCTTACCTGTACCTTACCTGTACCTTACCTGTACCTTACCTGTACCTTACCTGTACCTTACCTGTACCTTACCTGTAACTCACGCAAGCCTCGCCTGTTCGTCACTATATCATATATTGTCGCGATTATTTGCGGCTGCGTCATGAATCAACGTTTGTCGTACGAAGCGTTAGTCGCTCGCTCGCTCGTTCATTCCGCTTGCTGATGCCGCTTGATTTCGTGCTTTATTCCGCTGAACACCGACAACAATCGCAGCATGCAACATACCCAGCGTGTTACGCGATGCAATTACAGTCCGTGCAGCACGACACACGCACGCACGCACGCACGCACGCACGCACGCTCGCACGCACGCACACGCACACACACACGCACATGTACACACGCACACACACGCACACACACACACACACACACACACACACACACACACACACACACACACACACACTGACGCTGCGCCCGTCTCTCCACCCGTGCACGCTCCGTATTTAGTCACTGCGCTGCGCACCACACACACACAACACATCACACCAGCACACATCACACTACCACACACACTGGTATCGTTTCTAATTCAAACAAGCCAGCGTTTTTATTCGGCAATAAGTGCGCGCACGTAATTCGTTTTTGCAATGCATACAACGTTGGAAACCTGTCGTCNTCAAGAGTATAACACCCAGTATGTTTCGCAAATAACTTTGACGTTATCCGATGTAGTAACACGTGAGTAGTGTAGCCGTAAATTTCATTTGATACGCGTTGTAATCTTTTAAGGATTAAATTTTCCCCGAATATTAACGTGCTAATCTCTGACACAGACATGACTCACACGAAATCCGCGATGCTTATCGTTAACAAAAACCCATCACAAAATCGCAAATCACTAACTAAAAACATACACTTAGCTTTGAAAATAAAACGGTACACTTGGTATTTCTAGTATTTCTAAGTTTACATTTAATCAAACTATATGGAAACGCACAGGTCGCGGTTTTACATAATGACGGTGTGACGGAAGACGTAGATCACGTGACACCGTATGGAAACAAGAGAACATCGCATCAAAGGAGTATTATCAAAGAGCTTATCAAATGTCGTATAATCGAGTGCTTTGAATGAACATAATTCCGTGCAATTTCTGAAAATATCATACGCATACACGTATAAGTACAAATATACAGTTGTCAAATAACTACTGCTAACGATATTTGATGTTCGGCGTTACATATCCGTCGCTAGGTAACTTCAAACGCGCACACGCTGCATCGTAAGCTCACTCTCATTCTCTTTAGCTATACTACGTATGTAAGTAGAAGCGATCATCCTTTGATGATAACTATCTGATGACTATATGATAACTACCTCTGAGATGGTAATTTGTAATGATAACGTCGCATCCACAACTCCTCCATCTCCTCGTGTAGCTTCGTTAGGGCTCCTGCACCTAGTTTATGGGTCACATATAGATGTATCACATCTCTCTGACGTCTGCCGCTCAGACACAGAGGTCTGTGTTGCTCTTTAGTTGTCCTCGTGTGGGCTGTCTGCTAGAGTCTCGTGACTACGTATTAGTCATGTTGACGTGTCGTGGCTGCTCGGCTTCGCGTTTAGAAAAAATGATTGTCTCATTCGTTTGTTTGTTTCGTTTGTATATTCATTCATTCATTCATTCATTCATTCATTCATTCGTTCATTCGTTCATCTATTTAGTCAGTTGTATTATTTAATGCGTTCGTTCCTTCGTTCGCTCGTTCCTTCGCTAGTCCGTTTATTCATCAACTTGCACGCGTTCGTGCGTGCGTGCGCGTGTTCTTCCCATACGCTCACTAAATACGCCATCTAGCCTGACATATCCTGACGTTTTCTAATTCATGCAGATCATTTCCCTCCGCTCTTCATATTTGCTACGTAATCGTTTTCTGTGTAACATTAAATGCCACTTAAACAGTAGAAGTCTATCGGGATGAGAGGAAAAGGCAGCAGTGACGTTTGAACAATGACAATCCTATTCCCCCGATTAGCGAAAGGCCGCGGTTCATTCTAAACCTAATAAATCTGCATAAAGTAGCAAAAACTGATTGCAATTCAACATTAAAATTTCGCATTCTTCCGTTTGTTGCACCATTTCGTTGCATTTACGAGTGCGCATGCGCCATGGAGCGATTACAGTAAATGCACAAACTTTAACAAAGATCAATTAAGAACGCGCGAGTGACGGCGTATGGATGGAAGCGGATGCATGGTTGTTATAACTCGAGAACAAGAAACAACAACGAGACATGCGCGACACGTGGAGACAAGGCGACAAGGGGGCAAGGGGACAAAAGGGGACAAGGAGACAAAATAGGAAGGACGAGAGGGAGAGGGAAAGAAAGAAAAAGCATAGATAGATAGAGAGAAGGAGAAAGAGCGAAAAAGAGCGAGAGTGAGAGAGAGAGAGAGAGAGAGAGAGAGAGAGAGAGAGAGAGAGCGCGAGAAAGAGAGGGGGAGGGGAGCGTGAGGTAAAGATGAAAATGGACAAGCAGTCATTTGTATTGCATGTCTCATTCGCGTCGAGCAGCGAAGGATAGAATGTAAGTTACTGCCATCAATGGCCATCACATTACCCACTCATTATATAACATGCTGACCTTCCTGACCTTCCTGACCTTCCGCCATTACAGAAGCATTGAAGGTGACGACGGAACCGACACTACAGACGGTCGACGTCGGCCGGTCGGCTGCCTTCACCTGTCTCGTCGCCGGATATCCGGTCAACGAAGTCACGTGGTACAAGGACGGCGAGAGGCTGCGGTCGAGTGACAGCGTCGTCATGGAGATGGACAGGGTGGTGCGAATCACGAGCGTGGCGAGGGAGGATGGCGGAATGTACCAGTGCGTCGCATCAAACGAGCGGGAGACAGCTGAGGCAACGGCCGAACTCAAACTAGGAGGTGAGAGAGAGAGAGAGAGAAAAGCGAGAGAGAGAGAGAGAACAGCTGAGGCAACGGCCGAACTCAAACTAGGAGGTGAGAGAGAGAGAGAGAGAAAAGCGAGAGAGAGAGAGAGAACAGCTGAGGCAACGGCCGAACTCAAACTAGGAGGTGAGAGAGAGAGAGAGAGAAAAGCGAGAGAGAGAGAGAGAACAGCTGAGGCAACGGCCGAACTCAAACTAGGAGGTGAGAGAGAGAGAGAGAGAAAAGCGAGAGAGAGAGAGAGAACAGCTGAGGCAA